AGTCCACACTTTCAGCGAGGGCTTTATTTCAGTTATATAAATTCTATAAACTCACCCCACTGATTATTTTTTCTTTAATTTATCAACCTGTCCAGGCATGTTGTGAGATAACAAGGTGTAGAGCTGGATGAACACAGCAGGCCAAGCAGCATCAGAGGAGCAGGAAGCCTGACGTTTCGGGCCTAGACCCTTCTTCAGAAATGGGGGAGGGGAAGGGGGTTCTGAAATAAATAGGGAGAGAGGGGGAGGCGGATAGAAGATGGATAGAGGAGAAGATAGGTGGAGAGGAGACAGACAGGTCAAAGAGGCGGGAATGGAGCCAGTAAAGGTGAGTGTAGGTGGGGAGTTAGGGAGGAGATACGTCAGTCCAGGGAGGACAGACAGGTCAAGGGGGTGGGATGAGGTTAGTAGGTAGGAGATGGGGGTGTGGCTTGAGGTGGGAGGAGGGGATAGGTGGGAGGAAGGACAGGTTAGGGAGGCGGGGACATGCTGGGCTGGTTTGGGGATGCGGTAGGGGGAGGGGAGATTTTGAAGCTCATCCCGCCCCCTTGACCTGTCCGTCCTCCCTGGACTGACCAATCTCCTCCCTAACTCCCCACCTACACTCACCTTTACTGGCTCCATCCCTGCCTTTTTCACCTGTCTGTCTCCTCTCCACCTATCTTCTCCTCTATCCATCTTCCATCCGCCTCCCCCTCTCTCCCTATTTATTTCAGAACCCCCTTCCCCTCCCCCATTTCTGAAGAAGGGTCTAGACCCGAAACGTCAGCCTTCCTGCTCCTCTGATGCTGCTTGGCCTGCTGTGTTCATCCAGCTCTACACCTTGTTATCTCAGATTCTCCAGCATCTGCAGTTCCTACTATCTCGGGCATGTTGTGACACAGCTTTGGAGCAGGTGGGATTTGAACTCTTAGTTCCTAGTTCAGAGATTTACTATCTCTGTGCCAAAGAGCTATAAGTACCCCACTGATAATGTTACTCCTTTTAACCTATTTTTCTAATTGACCTGTTCAGAGATATTATTATACACCTCTGGAGCAGGTGGGCCTTCTAGTTCAGGGGTAAGGACACTACCACTGTGCGACAAGAGAGCCTAAAATATTGCAGGAGAGATATTTTGTAATCAAGCTATCCAGAGTCATTATTACACATCTTTGGAGCCTCAGACAGATCCTGTCTCATACATACACCGTCTCTCAAGCACACAGACATACTCTCACACAAATGCTTTCTCATATAGACACTGTCTCTCAAATGCATGCACACACACATGCACTTTCTTTACCCCCACACACACGCACACACTCACTTTCTTTGTCCCTCACACACACAACCGCACACTTTCTCTTCCCCCTCCCACACACACACACACACAGTCTCTCTTTCTCCCTCACACACACATACACATGCACGCACTCACTCTCTCTCTCTCTCCCTCACACAAACACACACCACACACACACGTAAATCTATGGGGTGAATTTGTATTTGCAGATACATTCTCTCTTTCTCCCTGCCTCACACACACACTCTCTCTCTCTCTCCCTCCTCTGACACTCTCTCACTCACACATGCACACACACACTCTCTCTCTCTCTCTCCCTCACATAAGCACGCACACACTCACTCTCTCTCTCCCTCACACACACACACACACACACATGTAAATCTACGGCATGAATTTATATTTGCAGATACATTCTACTTTGTTCAAAAAGCACACAATTTATAGACAGTCAATATGGCATTTTATATATTCCTACTTTAGAAATAAAACCAGTCTGACTCCAAACCAAAACACAAACAGATTCTAAACAAGGCCTGGCACCTAACATGCATTGTCTGACCTAAAATGTCATCTTTTCTTTACACCGATAAAACCTTTAGTTCTCTCAGGGCAGTGACTTGAAAGAAATTTGAGGATTTACTATAGTATTAATCAATTAAAACCTTCTAACTGATTAAAGATTTAACAGCATCTTAAGTTTGTTTAATACACCCTCAACAGTGGTGTGACCCTTTGAGCTTTTACTTATAAATTCTGTGTCTGATTCCAACTCTCCCACTAATGCCTGAAGAACAAGCGAGGCTCCAAAATCTTGTGTTTTCAAATAAACCTGTTCGACTGTAACCTGGTGTTGTGTGATACTTGCACAGCAGCTTTTTCTTCAGTTTTTGTTTTGAGTGCCTCAGTTGGGTATGTTTGCTCTGTGTAAACGTGCACAAATAGACTTATAGACTCTCAAATTTGCATTACAGATTCTGAGACACCTTTTGTAACGTACAGTTCAAAAAATAATATGTTAACTTTTCATTTGACTCTTTCATTCCCAACCTTTAGAATACATTTTCCCTTGCTTCATAATTGTTGATGGCCTTTTCCTTTCCTCTGGTTCCCTATCCTTCAGTTCAGCTGCTCTTTCTCCCTTCCCAGCACACTTAATAACCTCATTGCTTCTCCACCAATAATATGTGGCTCCATTTTTCCTTGTCCTCATTGCTCCTGTGACTAATACTTGCTTCTCTGAATTTCAGTTTGCTTCCCTCTATTCCCAGGATCCTTCCAGTGCCCATGGCAACCACATCCGGTAGGTTCCATTCTCCATTTTTTTTTCAATCCACTCCACCTTTCCTGTCACCCTATTCTGCTGATTCCCTTTTGATTTGATTCCCCTTTTGATTTGAACCCTGCTTACCTGTCCAAGTCAGGTTTGCTGGAGTCGGCTAGTGATCAGGTTGCTTCAATTGGGCAGGGTAGTAGCCCTGGTTGGGCTTCAACACTAACATTATTAGTGTTTAACTGCAAAAGCAAGTCTGCATGTTATTGAGATTTCCCATCAGTTCTTGAATGTGGAGAGGTTTTGCCCCAACAACAGTCAGTGTTTGTGTCAAAATATAGTTTATGAAGGAGCCAAGAAATGGATGAAGGTTTTACTCATCGAAGCTTGGAGAAAGCAATCAATCCCACTAGATGCCAATCTGTTATAGATTTGTCAGGTTTGTGAAGACACTTTTTCAATATTTTTGGCTAACAACAATATAATTCCAGTAGACTGATGTGTTCTTGAGGATGCATGACATGCCAATGCATAGAAAATAAGATTGGGAAACCTGCCCGAAAGGTCTCCAAACCTATTGCAAAACTTTAACCCAGTGGCAGAAACTGGATTTTTTGACCTCCCAATCAATTATGTCCCCCTGCATATCCTTCTGAAAGATCACGGTGGGATGGAAAATTCTGCCCCATGACTCTGTAATGGTTATCATTTCATTTTCATTTATTTCTGTCGTGTGATCAGTTCATCTATCTTGGTGTGAATTCCGCATGGATTCGTATAATGGGCCTCTAATTCTGTTGCTTTACTAATTTTTTTCACCCTACTCCAATGTTATTTGCTGTTACACAAAGTGTTTGTACACTGATCCTTTGTTATCATGCACTATTGCTTTTTCCTTTCTCTTTATCTTTGCAATACTTTCCTGTGAACTCTGCCTCAGTACTTAGTACTCTACAATCCTAGTTGTTTGATTCACTGGTACTGATCCCTGAGTTACTATTAATTGTACATCCTTTGAAACAGATCCAATACTTATGTTATATTGTTGACATTGTTCAAAAAATCTAATTTTGACTGAGCAAGTGGAGACTGGTATGTTCATGGGTTAGACCTTTAACTGATATTTATAGAAAACACAGATCACGTTGTTAACCTGTGGAGTGTATTAAAATTTCATATGATAAATACAGTGGTTTCTGTTCCAGACTAGTTGTCACTTATTTTCTTTTTGGTTTACATGGCATACTAGAGTAAACTTTTATGCGTAGTATGTTAGACTAGGCCTCAGTACAAACTGTGCTGCCTTTTACAACAACTGGTGGAAGAGGTGTGCAAACTTCATAAAAGTGGTGCTTAGTCAGGATGTTTTGTAGGTTTTCTTTAATGTTATGAAAATCCGTCATTGAAATTCATCCTGTAATAGCTAAACCAGATTATTGCAATAGACTAAGAAGTGTATTCTATTAAGGATCTTGTGTGACTGATATTGAAAAGAAAGAAAGACTTGTTTGTGTGTAGCCCCTTTTGTGACCATCAGATGTTTCCAAACATTTCACAGCCGGTAAAGTATTTTTAATTGAAGTCACAGTTATAATGCTGGAAAGGTGGCAACCAACTCACAAACAACAAACTTCCACAAAAAGCAGTGTAATGACCAACTAACTGATTGAGGGATATGTATATAGTAGGTCAAGACATTGAGGATAATTCCCCTGTTGTGCAAGTGATAATGTCTCTGTGTCTGGGCTAGAAAGTCTGGGTTCATGTCCTTCCTGCTTTGGAAGTGTGCCATAACACACCCAAACAGGTTGATTATAAATAATTAACACCCCTGCTTTTCTTTGAAATAGTACCAGAGGATCTTTTACATTTATGCAAGAGCAAGACAGGGCTTCACTTTAACACTTCATCTGAGAGGTTGCACCACCAACAGTGCAGCAGTCCCTTTTAATGCACTGGAACATCAATGAAAGAACTCCACAGGGCCAGTACTCCATCACCAACTCACTCCTTATTTACATGTGGAAAGTCCTTAGCAATGATCCAGCTTTCTTAGAGCCAGCTCTAAGAAAGAGTGGCACGCACTTTTGTTTTTATTTGTCAGCAATGGCTTCTTGATTAAACCAGATTAGCAGCCCCAGTCAGGGAACTCATATTCAAGAGGACCACCTGGCTTACCTCGTTATAATCACTAATTAGCTTTGAATGTTATGCTCAAATCAAATGTAGAAACTCGTGACTGCAAGGTGAAACTGCCGTCAATTGAGCCTAGGCTGACACTTGATATCCATATACAATGGATGTTATAGTCTTTAGGAAAATACCAGCATAAAAAGTGCCAGTAAGATGTATTTGTTAAGCAAGTGTTAAATTAATGAATTCAATGAAATCAGCACTAACTCTTTGATATCTGAATAATCAATCATTTTAAATATCTTCTAGCTGTGAATTGTGATTTTTACAATACTCACGATCGAAGAACAAATGGTTATAAATATGCTGGTGACATTGAATGCAAATGGCACTATCAGCCATGCTTGTGCCCCAATAGTCCATGGACCTTCTCAAAGACAAATATGGAAGGTACAACAAATCTTTCATTTTATTAAATTTTTATGTTGTTTTTGATGAATTAGTCATGTAATGAAAATTATCTCACTCTGTTAAGTTTTAAACCTGTAATTGTACCTGTAAATAGAGCAGTGACAATATTAAGTTAAAAGAAGATGATAAGCTTGTTAAAAGTCAATTGCTTCAGTTCTAGGATAGTCAGCAGTACCACAGGGCAGTGTCCTACACCCAACCATGTTCAGTTGCTTCAACAACACCTTCCTCCATGGTGCTCAGTAGTCTTTGCAAATCATCTGAAGCAGTCCATATTCAAAGAGTGCAAGACTAGACAGCATTTGCACTTAGTCTGGTAAATTGCAAGTAGCAGTCACACCTCGTAAGTGCCAGGCAATAATCATCCCCAATCTGACAGAATCTAACCATATCCCCTTGGTATTAATTACCAATTCTAAATCCCACACAATCAACATCTTTGGCTTATCATAGAGCAGAAACTGAATTGGACCAGCCATATAAATACTGTCGCTTCAAAAAATACATTAGAGACCAGGAACTTCGAGGCCAGTGACTCACTTCCTGATTCCACAAAGTCCATCCATCATCTACAAGGCATATGTCAGGACTGTGATGGAACACTGTTCAGTTGTCTGCATTCTTAAAATGCTTGACTTCAAGCGAAAAGCAGCCCACTTGAGTGACACTATTCACCATCTTAAATATTCATTTCCTCCACTACTAACGTACATTTACAGAAGTGGGTACCATTATATGATTCACCGCAGCAACTAACCAACATTTGGCAGCATCGTCCAAAAACAGCACCTTTAGCATCTGGAAGGACTAGAACAATAGACGGACAGGAACACCACTACCTGAAAGTTCCCCTCCAAGTGGAATTGTAACATGTTCCTTCAAAATTGTTGGGTCAGAAACCTGGTACTCTGTTTCTAATATCTCTGAGGGTGTACCCACATCATATGCTCTGTAGCTGTGCTAGGAGGAGGCTCAACACTATATCTGAGGAGCAATTAGGGATGGGCAAAAAATATTTGCCTCAGTAGTAACACGCACATCACATGAAAGAATTTCAAAAACATTGCAGTTACCTTAAGTGAAAGATGCAAATCTAAATATTTATATAGGAAGCTTTTGAAATATTTTCAAATTTAAATTCGTGAATATTTTGATTTTTTGTTCTGTTCAAAGGTTGTTACAATTGCAGCATAGATGAGTACTATGATGCAGGCCAGCAGCGCTGTGTGCCATGTAGTAAGTAAAAACTTCTTTCTTGATTTATAAAAGTAATTGTTTCCTTCTAGATCTACTCACCTTTACTGGATATGAGAAGGTTAATGCATTGAGACTTAAGACAGTAGATTAAGATTGCTTACAGTATCATTGTCACTACATTTGACCAATAGGACATTCATGGAAAAGTGCATTACCTATATATCTAACTTGATTGTAAGTTTTACACAACCAACCTTAAGAGAAACCTAATCAAAGGCAATGTAATCAGATTTAGTGTGCCAAAAGGTTAGCGGTCATTGTTTCATTGATACATTTGACACTGAAGAACACACAGTAGGAAAAATCTGTTTGCAATACTCAGAACTAAGGGATTACACTGTACAACTGAAGGTGAACTGGGCAGTGGATGGGCTGTACAGTGGAGAAGAAAAAAATGTTAACCTCCTGACTTCTGATTCAGGTCTGGAAAGGGCAGGTCAAGAACAGCCTTTCCATCCTGTGGCAGTTAAGGTGCCTCTTAAAGATTCCATCTTGCCCTGCTGTTTTTCACTGGGAGGCATTTTATGCACATGTGTAATTCAATAAGTAAACCCTGGTGGATATGTCAATGGGCTAGTTGGTAGAGTAGGGGTACTTCCTTCTTGGACATCCTATTCCCAACTGGTTGGTTGCAAGGAATGCGTTTATGGGATAATATTCTACTGCACTTTATATCAAAACTCCTGGCAAGACCTCCCTGACTGGCTATGGTGATCCTATCCATTTATCTACATGCTGAGGCTCAACAGACAATCCTCAGCTTTAGTTTACAAAAGTATTGGCGGTGCCCACTTCATTCAGTAGACCTAGAGTCATAGAGATGTACAGTATGGAAACAGACCCTTCGGTCCAACTCGCCCATGCCGACCAAATATCCTAAATTAATCTAGTCCCATTTGCCAGCATTTGACCCATATCCCTCTAAACCCTTCCTATTCATATACCCTTCCTATTCATATACCCATCCAGGTGCCTTTTAAACATTGTAATTGTACCAGCCTCTACCACTTCCTCTGGCACTCATACCATACATGCACCACATTCTGCATGAAAATATTGTCCCTTGGGTCCCTTTTGAATCTTTTCCCTCTCACCTTAAACCTATGCCCTCTAGTTTTGGCAATCCTACCCTGGGAAAAAGACCTTGGTTATTTACCCAATCCATGCTCTTCAGATTTTATAAACCTCTAAAACGTCACCCCTCAGCCTCTGATGCTCCAGGGAAAACAGCCCCAGCCTAGTCAGCCTCTCCCTATACCTCAAACCCTCCAACCCTGGCAACACGCTTGTAAATCTTTTCTGAACCCTTTCAAGTTTCACAACATCCTCACTATAGCAGGGAGACCCGAATTGAATGCACTATTCCAGAAGTGGCCTGACCAATGTCCGGTACAGTTGCAACATGACCTTCCAACTCCTATACTCAATGATGAATAGGTGAGAATTGTGGTTGTAAGTACCTGCTGCTGTTTTTGAAGATTTGTTTTCAGGGCTGCAGTTGATTTTCTTGATTTCTTTGAGCAGTTTTATAAGGTTTTGCTTTGTTTTTGGAACTTTGAACAAAAAAGATCAAAACAATGGTACTTCAAATGGAAGAAAAGAGAGAGAGCAGGAGCCCATGTGAGAGGCTGATTGGAGAATGGCTCTAGAGTTTTAAAAAAAAGTATTATCCGAAAACTGTTAACCTTTGATTTAAAAACCAAAAGAACTGCGGATGCTGCAAATCAGGAACAAAAACAAAGTTGCTGGAAAAGCTCAGCAGGTCTGGCAGCATCTGTGGAGGAGAAAACAGAGTTAACGTTTTGGGTCCGGTGACCCTTCCTCGGAACTGATGGCGGCTGGGAAAACGTCAGTTTATATGCAGAAAATAGGGAGGTGGGTGGAGTAGGGAGTAAACGATAGGATAGAGCCCAAAGAGAGAGAGAGACAGTTGGACAGACAAAGGAGTTGCTAACGATCAGGCTGGGAGGGTGAATAGTTGTTAATGGGGACTGTTAGTGACTAACAACAGGGGGTGTGTAGTGGCAGGCTATGTGGTAACAAGCCTGGTGTGTGGGGTGGGGGGCTGGGACATGGGAGAGTTTAGGCCCTAAAATTATTGAACTCAATATTGAGTCTGGAGGGCTGTAGGGTCCCCAAGCGGAAAATGAGGTGTTGTTCCTCCAGCTTGCGTTGGGCTTCACTGGAACACTGTAGCAAGCCGGAGACAGAGATGTTGGCCAGAGAGCAGGGTGGTGCATTGAAGTGGCAGGCAACAGGTAGTTCAGGGTCTTTTTTGCGAGCAGAACGTAGATGTTCTGCGAAGCTGTCGCCAAGTCTACGCTTCATTTCCCCAATGTAGAGGAGATCACATTGTGAGCAGCGAATGCAGTAGACTAGATTCTTGGAAGTGCAGGTGAAGTGTTGCTTCACCTGGAAGGTATGTTTGGGCCCTTGGATAGTGGGGAGGGAGGAGGTAAATGGGCAGGTATTGCACCTTCACCGGTTACAGGGAAAGGTGCCGTAGGGCTGTGGGGAGGTGTTGGGGGTGAAGGAAGTGTGCACCAGGGTGTCCCAGAGGGAACGGTCCCTGCGGAAGGTGGACAAGGGAGGGGAATATGTGTCTGGTGGTGGCATCTTGCTGGAGGTGGCGGAAATGGCGTCTGATGATCTTCTGGATGTGGATGCTGGTGGGAT